AAGAGAGGGAGAATTTATGGCTCGAGTTATATTTGTGCTGACGTTTTTGAAACCCCCTCGTTTCCATCGTCAGATTAGTGTGTTGACTGTTCCTGCTGGCCTTGATTGCTTCTGTCTTGATACCTGCCTGGTGTTATATTCGCGCTCGAGGCACGAACTACGACCTGCTTGTTCACCGCCGATTAGCGTTCACCTGTCCACGATTGACCGCCGGTGGGCTCCTGCCACTTTTGATCCCTTTGCGGCAGTCGTAATTGTTGGCAAGCCAGCATTCTTGTTGGCCTCCCCCTCGTCACTCATCGGACTGATCAGTTGTTGGGGCTCATGTGAGTTGATGTCAGCCTCGTGGGCGTCGCGGTGAGGTTGCGTCCCATGCTGGTCGTATGACTCCCGGCCGGCTTCTCTCCTGCATTCCGCTGACATCGGCTGTCGACCACGCGTCACTTTGCTCGACTGTCCTGATGACCTTGTCCGCACTGACTCGAGACTTGTGCGTAGCGCCTGACAGGTGGAATGCAGATCTCTGGCTCTGTTGAGTGCGCCATTAGAGGACCAGTTTTCGAGCATCAGTCTGGCCATCTTATCATTGGCTCAGTCGATCGCCCTTGCCAAAGGCAAAATTTTGGTTCTTCTGTTTGACCTGGCCATAAATCATAGACAACATGTCCTCGCCAAAGGCAAAATTTTGGTTCTTCTCAGTCGATTACCCTTGCCAAAGGCAAAATTTCGTTCTTCTCAGTCGATTTGGTTCTTCTCAGTCGATTACCCTTGCCAAAGGCAAAATTTTGGTTCTTCTGTTTGACCTGGCCATAAATCATAGACAGCATGTCCTTGCAGTTAATTGAAAGCTGGTGCTCATGCAATTTTCAGGTCTTCGGGCCTCATTTTCTGTTGTTTGGTTGTTGACTCTGACTAATGAGCCGCTTTGCTCTTGAAAGGCTTCAGAATTGTTGCCGTCGCCCCTGAACACAGTTTTCACATAAGAAATTGCAAGCCAAAATTTCCGGTTTTCTCAGTCCGGCCGCTCAGGGTGGGGCTTCTTAAGACGCCTGCGTATGAAGGACTTGGGAAAACAGTTGGCTTTAAATAGGGCATGCGCGTACTTAATCCCCTCCTTCTTCTTCTTCTTCTCATTGTTGTCCTTTCAGTGTGTTTAAACGCGTTGGAAGAGGGTCCTGACACAACTGTGTTTTTGACCCACGGGTTGGTTGATTCTGAAGTGGAGGATTCGCCTAATGTTAGCTGTCTAACGGTAGACCGTTGTCCTTATCTTCCCGTCCTCCAGCTTTGTCAGTTGCACGTCAAGGATGGCCAGCTGATTGTTGAGGTTTTCCTCCATTGTAAACTGAATTCAATCTTCCCCGACATCCGGCGGTCAATCGTGGAGAGGTCACCGCTAATCGGCGATGAATGAGCAGGTCATAGTTCGTGCCTCGAGCGCGGATATAATATCAGGCATGTATCAAGGCAGAAGCAATCAATGCCAGCAGGAACAGTCAACACACTAATCTGATGATGGAAACGAGGGTTTCCGAAACGTCAGTACAAATATATTTTGGTCAATGAATTCGCCCTCTCTTCCTCCTCGTCTTCTTTGGGGGATGATGAACAAGATATGTATATATGCATATATTTGGAGGAAGTGTTTCACAAAGAAGCTGTTGAAATACGTCTGGACTGATAAATTATTTTTTAACCGCTTGCAGTATGTCGGTTTTTTTCAACATATGCTAACATATGCTGTGATGTCGCGTCACAGAATAGAGAAAAATCCATGCATGCCCTTGTGTCCTTAGTGTTCACTGTGCAGAAACTCTTGACATGCATATGCTGAACATGCACACACGTGTGCCGTTGTACTACGGTCTCTAATCCAAGTCCCACCAGTGGCTGCACAGCGGTAGAAAAAAATTTAAAATCTTCTAACTGCAAATTAGCGCGCTTTTATCAGTATATAGGCATAATGCATTGGATTTAAGTGATATAAATACGATTGTTTCGTCACGCAAATAAGCACGTAATTAATATTATCAAAATCTAATTAATGCTCACAAGTGATCGCTTTTCCCTTTTTTGATATGCCACCTGGGATTTGCTTTTCACTACTGTTAATGTAGTGGAAATTATGTGCAATTTGGTGCAGGCGATAATATATAAATAAGCCATGTCTATCGCTTTTGGACTTCAAGGCAAAACCATTTGTCCGATTGTGCGAGCTGGGTCTTATTGGAAGCAAATACATTTATCAGTTTCAGTTAAAATTGATATTGCTGATTTGGCTTTAGCGTACATTACCCATTTTATTATTTGGGTGTTATAATATGGTGTCCCTTCACAGAACACATTAGTAACACGAAAGCGTTATCTTCAGGGGCAAGTAAGTATGGCAGGAACAACGCGAGTTATAATCTATGACCACAGCCCAACAGCGAGTTTGCTTGATGAGGAGGAAGAAGTACCGTCAGACCAAACAGCTGATGAAAGCCCAGTCATCTCCGCACCGACAACACAGGTAAAAAGTCCGCTAGCCGTGCGAAGAGAGGCCGAGGCAGTAAGAGAAGAGCAACATCGCTCCGCATGTGGTCGACCAACGTGATATGCAACCTGGCATTTCAAGTCGATTAAGTAAATTTTACGCTTTCGCAATGGAGTGCCAACCAAGCGCTGCAAAACGTCAGAATGTAATCAACCCCGTTCAGAAAAGAGAATCTATTTTCCTAAAATTTTTATTTAGTCTTAATGCTCATAACCAATTTTATTAATGGAATGGTTCGACATTGCGGCACTATGCAGAACGCATTTATGACACGGAGGCGTAAACACATACATTGGTCATTTCAGCGGAAAGTTTTTATGGAAGAATAAACGCGAGCAAGGTATTATTCCCACGTAGAACTCGTCATGCTTACCCGTTCCTGGCACGCATTTCTGCACGCAAACAGAATTAGATAATACTCATCAATTATTGGGACCGACCAATAAATGCCAGGAAATGTTAAACGGCAACTATATAAACGTGCATATTCACCAATATACAGACTGTTTCGAAGAATGTGGGCCTCAATTTCGACGCTTCGCTGCTTGGTCGTGCTTCAGGCATTTATGCTTCTAGCCACTGTCGCGTTTGGCAAGTGTTTTGATGTTCGGACGATGCTTATCTTCATTACTTAGCTTATTATATGACGCTTGAGGAAACATAAAAACGCATTTTGCATCTAACGAATTGTCCGCAGTACTTTACGTTAAACACACATGAAAAGTAGAAATAATATAGCTATTTTTATAATGAACTTAAGCGTGTGGTTTAATCCTCCCTGCTTTTAGAATACATTGGCAAATCACCAGCTTATGAACTGTGCAAACAGCAAAATAGGGAATGCGAACTTGTGGAGTACAGAGCTGAAGATGAAACCAAGGGCGCCGGCTGTCGTGCGGCGTGTGCAAGACAACGAGGTTTGCCCTAAATAGTTGTACTTACCCCTACCATATGCTAATTCGACCTGACTAATTAGAGGTTTGAGCGCAATCTGATTGTTGGCTAGAGTTTGTAGTACAAGTAACCAATTACCCGTTGCTTTTAGGAGACCTTAATGAGAAAATGACAGTGCACTTCTGCGAAGAATACAATAAGCCTTGCAAGCCGTACGAAGTTTACGGAAGAAGTGGATATGCAGAAAACTTTGAAAGGCACGCCATGTGCGTCAAACTGTGCCACTTTGTTGCGAAAGGTAAACTACACTATCCGCCAGTCTTTCGTGTGATCTTATCCAACTGACTATTCTAGACATTTTTAGCACTGCTGAAAATGTTCTGCAAAATCCTTTATTCATTACAAATTTGGGCAGTCGGAACTCACACGCAAATGATTGTTAATTTTTGATTTTTAGTGGAGCACAGCTCAGAAGACACCTTCGAAATGTGTTCGCAAACCATGGACCCATGCCTTGACATAAAACGCATAAATGGCACCTTCAATGCCTTTAATAAATGCGCATTCAAATGCGACGGCTGGACCAGACGTGAGTTAATACTAATGAGCTAGTATTATAACTTATGCCCATGGGCTTGTTGTTGTAACAGACCGTTTTTTCTCCTCAAGTGGAAAACAGCTTGGAAGACACAGCGTCTTTCTGTCCCAATGAAGGCTTCTGTACGGATGCCAAGTTTTTCAGCAATCCAAAAGCAGGAAATGCCTTCGCCGGTCTAAAGACATGCTTCACAAATTGCATGTCAGGTTAGACTAGATATTCCGATTTCAAAAGCAGAACACATTCTGAGTCTGTGCTATTAAATTAAACGCTCTATAGCATTGGGTAGTGGCCTCACCGAAATGACAAATATTATGTTTATAGAAGCCTTCAGCAGCAATCAGACTTGAGGCTTCCTATTGATTTACTTCCATGATACCCGTTTTACGTATACTTTCGAAGAGAACAAACATATCGTTAGGTTTTCAAGGTATTGATCTCTTCAGAAACTAGACTTTGCAAGTTAACCCTTATTTAAACCGGCTACCGATGCGTTTATAAACTTGCAACTGGCAGGCCGTTATAACGTGTCTTAAAACGCAATTGCGTGCTATTAAGTATGATATACGTTCTATTTTGATTGAGTGCGGGATGATTATATATGTTATGTCGTTAAAAGGCCTGAATTGGATGGTTTATCCAGGAAATAGCTAACGCAATCTATGTTCTTTATTTTAGCATAAGCGTTCATTACAACGCTTGGTTGCTTGCAGCTATTCCGTGATTTCTTTAGCATTATTTGGTTTTGGGTTTTTAAGACAATTTATGATTATAAGTGTGGGGTTTGTATTGAAATGACAATAAACGCTTAAATATGTATTGTATTGTATTGTATTTTAGGGTAATAGGCAATGCCCTTGATGAGCCTATTGAAAACGGTACATAAAATATAAATGTTAAATGTACATCTTACTAAAATTTTGTCAGTAACATATTTGTTCGCGGGAACTTTCACAATGCGGGACTGCTAAGGGTGCGGCAGGCGGTCTTCTCAGTGTACACATGAAATTTTAAGTGCAGTTATATACAATCAGCATAAAGTGCAGTCATTTGCATAGTTTGAGAGGGGGCATCTCATTAAGAGTCAGGCGTGTGTTAAGTAGGGATGAAATCAAGAAATGAAATTTATGGCTGGCCGCAGGTAGTCCTGTTGTGAAAGTCGTCGTTTATCAAATATCAAACGATCCAGCTGCCTTTTGAATACAGCGATTGTATCAGATGTCACTATTTCACTTGGGAGTGAGTTCCATGGCCGAACAACACGCTGGCTGAAGGAAAACTTCCGATTGTCTAGGCGTGTACGCTCCCGCTTGACTTTGTAAGGGTGACCGCGCAGGTGACTCGTGGTCGTGAATTCAAAAAAGTCGTCAGTTTTGAGCGGACATTCATGCCCGTGGATAATGCGGAATGTCCATAATAGGTCACACCTCATTCTTCTATAGGATAGGGGGAACAAATTTAACTGGATCAGTCTTTCTGGGTATGACAGAGTCCTGAGACCGTCCACCAGTTTTGTGGCCCGTCGTTGCACCTGCTCTATGGCATCACTGTCTTTCTTCATCCAGGGCATCCATGATGGTATCCCGTATTCCAAGTGCGGTCTGACGAATGTGCCGAATATCTGTGAGAAGAGTTCTGGAGGAAAGATTTTGAAGGCACGCCTAATCCAGTGCATGGTGCTGGTTGCCTTTTGGACGACTCTTTTGCAGTGCTGAGAGGGCAGCAAGTTTGAGCATGTCCAGACACCTAGGTCTTTGTGCGTGTCCACTTCATTTAGTGGAACCCCATTTATGATGTACTGATGTTTTGGGAAGCGCCTCCGTCCAGATTCTAGTCGCAAGACTACACACTTTGTTTTTGCCAAGGTAAAAACATAAGGAAGTCAGCTGATTGATTCGGCCGCAACCCGCACGAGTACATTTCGGTTGCGTAAGGCAAAGTAAACGCGAATTAGTGTATTTGCAGAAAGGATCAACGACAAAATATATTCTACAAATGCGCCCAAATTTTGCAAACATGGAACAAAAGTCGGGCGTTAATGTGAGAGGGTGAAATCTGCCCGCTCTCTTTTTTGGAATTGATGCAAGCATCGAGGACCGAAAGATTATCAATTTTGCAGATCTACGAATGTCTTTGATGATGGATTCGCGTGAGAATCCGAAGCGTCAAGCCAAAACATTGTTTGTTCCCGTGATAGCATCCTCATCCTTTGAACCATCAATTTTGTTGGTGCATCGTTTTCTGCCCGTAGTGCTTGAACATCGCATCCACTAGCACGTCATTTTACTTTCCCAAAATCGTCCCGCTGATCGTAAGCAAACTGAATATAGACGTATTGGAAATCGAACGGCGATACAATTATTCTTAATGGCATATATAGAAGCAGTCGGGAAATTCAAAATTTGAACACATCATTTCCCCATTTGCGGCACCGGTGCGACTCGAACCCACAACAGTCAGTTCATACTCCTGTAAACCCAACGACATTGGAGAGCAATTTGCGTGACTCTCAAGGAAACTTTATTTGTAGTCAAACCTTAGGCTAACTTTCCCGTCCAATTTGCTCTATGGTTTAAGGTCCACATTACGCGATACAGAATTTTATGAGCAATTAATAAATCCAATGCTGGTCGACTGCAAGGTCTTTATTAGTAGGGGTGGTTTGCATGATCTGTACCGTTTATTTTTTGTGGCTTCTGGCGGGAACTTGCACCTTAGTTTGTTGAAGCATCACATAATAAATTATTCATTCTTCCATAGGATTTAATGATTTGAGCCATGAGCGCTTAGACCCCGTGCTAAATCGAATGTCATCAGTTTTTATCCATGTCAATAGCAAGCGCGTATTAAGAGGGTGAACATATTTGATGAAATACTAGCTGAAATTTACAAATGCTTTTTTGATTAGAAACACATTCTTATTTTACAATATAGCATCAGACATCATGCCACATAATCCTATGATATTTCGTACTTGTGACATTGATGGTAGGTAAACGTTCTTCGTGTCGGCCTTTGTAAAAACTGCCATCTACAGAGCTTGTTAATAATTAGAAGACACTATTCACACGGTCGACACAGGCGAAGATTAGAGTAAAGGCGGTCGCCAGATCAAGAGCTTACTCACCTTTTTCGCTTACGCTTTGACGATGGACAGCCAACCAAGTTCTCTAAAGCGTCAGAATCTAATCAACTTTGTTCCTTTGAGAAAATCGTTTTCTTAAAATTTCGAATTTAATCTTAATGCAAATTCTCCTTTTTAGTAATTAAATGTTCTGACATTACGGCATTGTGCAGAACGCATTTATGACAAGGGGGCTTATACAAATACAATGGTCTGTTCAGGGGGAAGCTATTATGGAAGAAAAACGCGATCATGATAATATTCCAACGTGAAACCGCCATGCTTACTCGTCCATTGCACTACTTTTGCACAACAACATAATTATCCAGTCGTCATAAATGGGAAGAAATGTCAACGCCTCAATATATAAACGGTGCAAATTCATCCGTACACCGACTGCTATGGAGAATGTAGGTATCTAGCTTGGGGTTATTTTGGCAAGCGCCGAGATTTCCTGGCAGTACTTATCTATTTTACATAGCATATTATATTATCTTTAGAAAGATTTAACACTACATTTTGTTTCTGACAAATTGTCCGCAGCATTTTGCGTTCACGATAGACATAAAAAATAGTAGAGGTGGTTTGTATGATCTGTGATGTTTATTTGTTTCGTGACTTCTTGTAGTGGATTGTAGCTTAGATAGTTTAAGCATCACAAAATAAATTATTCATTTTTCCATAACATTTAATGATTTGAGTCGTAAGCGCTTATACCCTGTGCCATTTTGAATTGCATTATTTCTTGTCCACGTCAGTGGCAAGCGAATATGGAGAGGTTAAGTGATAAAGTGATATCCGAGAGTCTGAAATGCGCTTTTGATTATAAAAAAGCTTTATTCTTTCACGATGGAGCATTAATCACCACGCGCCATAATATTATGATATTTCATTTTTGCCAGAGTGCTGGTCCTTAAACGGTTTTCGTGTCCGCCTTTGTAAAATCTGACATCTACAGATCTGGTCCATAATCGGAAAACGCTATTCACACGGTCGATACATGCGAAGATACGAGCGGCAATGGCTGCTAAAACAACAGCTAATTCGCTTGATATTTCAAATTAACGCTCGACCACATCATTATTCAGTTCAGTTCAGTTCAGTTCAGTTTATTGAGGGAAATGTAGGTCTTCACCTTTGAACTCCCTATTTGGTTACAAGCAACTGCAAAATCTCAAAAACTCGAAAAGGTATCATAAAGTAACAAATAATCGGAAAAGCGTCAGGTCTGTACAGACAAACAAACTGTCTCGAATTTTAGTGGTACGAGCAGTTGTAGAGCTGTCGTTTCGAGTGCAGCGAAATAAATAATATGTCCGGGGACAAAATTTGCATATGTGCATGTCAGTAAGCGTAGGCGATGGGTTGGTACAATAATAAGTTCAATTTAAAATGTTACTGAAATATAGCAAGTAGTATTATAATAGCGGAATTTGTCGAGGTTACAGAGATCGGGGTGGTAATTTAGTGCACACTGCTACACAAATCCAGCTTCCTCTTAAAAACCTCTACGGAAGCAGACACAACGACATCCACAGGCAGGGCATTCCAGGCTTCTACCACTCTGTTGGAGAAGAACTTTCGTGTGTCCAGTCTGGCCCCTGTCACACGTAGTTTGAATGGATGGCATCGAAGATTTGTGGTGGTTGCTAACTCGAAGAAGTTACCCGGTACGAGGCTGCAGTCCTGACCGCGTATGATACGGAAGACTTGTATCAGGTCACCCCGTAACTGCCTGTAACTCAAGGGAAAGAGATGAAGGTTAGCTAACCGCGTTGCATATGGTAGTGAACCCTGTCCTGCCACAAGTTTCGTTGCACGCCTTTGAACCCTTTCAAGGATGCTGAGGTCCTTCGCGGTCCAGGGTCTCCAAGCTTGGATAGCAAATTCTAGTTGCGGACGCATAAAAGTTCGAAAGACTTTAGCGAAGCAGTCTTCGTCAAAGGCAGAGAAAGCCCGCTTGACAAGGTAGAGGACTGACATTGCAGACTTGGCTATCTTCGTGCAGTGCAGCGAGGGTTTGAGCGAGGTCGTAATCCATACTCCCAAGTCCTTCTGCGAGTCCACTTCTTGCAGTGGTATACCATTTAGGCAGTAGGCCATATGGTTCGGAGAGCGAGCTCTGCCGACTCGTAGAATATTACACTTTTTCTCGTCGAACGGCAGAAGCCAGGCCTTTGACTACTGTTGGAGTCGATTTAGGTTCGCCTGCAGATGCTCTTCGTCATCTGCAGTTCGAATGACGCTCCAGAGCTTAATGTCATCCGCAAACATGGCGACACCACAATCCAGTTCACTCACGCAATCGTTGACATTTATGTTCATACTAGTAGATACCCATTTAATGGAAATCCACTTAAAATATGCTATTTTTATGCAATAGGACTTTACATTAACCTCACTTAAAGAACGGGATATATGGATTTTGAGAGAAATAATGAATCCGACCATATTCGAGGCCTATGAGTAAGTACAATTGCGTCTAGTTATTTCCTTTGTACAAGCTATATTATTTCTATGCGGACAAAATGTAAATTTTGCTGGGCGTCTAAACTGTAT